ACTGCAATTGTGCTTGCAGCTACTGTATATGATTAAGCATATCAGTCCAATTTAGTTCCAGTTTAATACCCAGGTGAATCTTGAACTCATTATGTTATAATTTACCATACAGTTCACATAAATTAGAAGATAAAAAAATATTAATTGCCGAATAATAATACCTGGAGTTCTTAAGTACACAAAGATAGTTATAAAGAATATACATTACATATACGTATATCAATCCAGACATATACAGTATATTTACTACATAAGTTATTAAAAAGGTATCAAATCAAGATAAAGAAATTGTTGCATGAGGAAGATTTATTTTCTAAGCTGTTTTCATCACCAATGAAAACTGCTTCACTGAGACAGACTTTTAAACAATTTGGAATACAAACAACATTTCTGCACAATATTTCATAAACCAAGCAGACATACTGTGCTGTTGTTACATAGAATACATTAATGATAGAATGTAATATGTAATGTATATTGTATACTATAATATTAAATAGTAATAATAATTACATTTGAGCTTGGAAATGTTTTGTGTGTTTGCACATGAGTGGAAATTTCACAAAAAATGAATTTCAGATTTAATATAACTTTGCTGAAGTTTAAGAATCAGTACTTGATTTTGTATTTAAGTTGAAAATAATTTTCATTTTAAAACTGAATACATTAGTCAATTGTCTACAAAATATTTTAGAAGGACAGTTGCTACAGTTGGGGTGCAAATGTAAGCAAACATTATTTTGAATTTAAAACTTCATTATTTATCAATAATCATGCAGCTCAGCTAAAATAAATAACAGTAAATATTTTTTTATTTTTTTTGCTTTCTAGGGGATTTGAGACTGCTACAACTGAAAAAAATTATAATCACCGTCTGTCACTCGATAATTTTGCTGATTTAAGATCTGTGTTACAGTTTTTGGCTAAAGGTTTAATGAACTACATCATGGATACCATAATATTTTATTATATCAATACTGATTCTGCAGGGTTTTCTGGTTCTGTAAACAAATAACCATAGGATAAAAATAATAAATGTTTAAGGTTTAGATATATTTTTAATTATTTAAATTGACCATAAAGAGAAAGGAAAGTTGTACTTATTTGAATTACTAAATCAACACAATTACAACCAATGAAATCCTTAAATATGGTTTAATTTTTAAGTGTAGATTTGTATGTTTGTAATCTAATATTCAGGCATTTACACACTCCATTTAGCATTATATTTGTTTTTTACTGCCACAAATTGTAAAAAAATGAACATATATACATGTTTTATAGCAGATTATTTTTTTATCTATAAACACAGCCATGTACTGCAAATAAAATACAAGTGACATAGTGGTGCACCTACTGAAATATTAAGAGTGTTACCATTCCTATGCAGTCAATGACAAGTAATTGAAAATTAATTTCACTATAGTCATAATTAAAAATTAAGAACTGTAAAAAAGTTGACAACAGTATTAGTGAAGAACGTATTAATGCAGCCAAAATCCACTGAAGGAAAGTGGCATCTGGTTTTGGAGCTTTTGTATTCATTAAATACTACACTGAGCAGTATGGATGGTCACTGGTGATTGGCAAAAGCTGACACAAAGAAAGGGGTAATGCCAAGCCTATAATGAATTCACAGCTACCCCGTTTTTATCATTTGACGAAAAAGTTTTGCATTTCTGATAAATCAGTCATACAACAAAACATGTGCCTCTACTTTGAAACAGTTTCACAGGTGTTATGAAGTGCAGTCTCTTTTATACCAGTCAAACAGTATATTAATTTATATAATGATTTAACTATCAGGTTTTGCAATTCACAAAAACCATAGAGGAAAATATTAAATTACTGATCATACTATTTATAGTATACCCTTTAAGATTTTTTTCTTTAAAATAACTTACCTTGTTAGTTGGGAATTGTTTTAATCTTCTTTTGTGTACTGTACATTGTTTCAAAGTTTACTATAATTACAGCAATGAAATGCATTTCCATTGATAGATAGTCTGTACTGTAGGACACCAGTCATTTCCAGTTCCACTACATGAATTTTGTAGTGAAGGTCTCTCTTCTCACCTGTGTGCAGCCTGTTTAATAGGTATGCACATTGCAATATGTGCAAATACACGATGCTTTGACAGTTATGTCTTTCATCTTTTTTGTGTTAAAGTTAGTTTTAGTTAGTTTTATGTAAAAGGTATCCAAAACATGTACTTCCTTTTATATTGGCAATATTGGGAAATGTGCCTAATGCTGTAGTATTTAATACAGTATATACAGTTTATGTAATTTGAGGGTCAAAAAGATGTATGACATATGCATCTACTGTATGAGATAAGATACTGTAGATGCAAAGTTTAATTTATAATAGGCTTACTGATGACAAAAGGGAAAATCTTTTTGCTAATTTAACTAAATATGGATTTTTCCTGTAATTTTTAGATATAATCATTTTCCTTATTATTTAAAAGATTTGTCATATGTGTGTGCTTATAGTATTTTGCTACCTCACTACATTTAAAAGGCACTTTCGTTCTTCCATTTTAGTAATGTACACATAAACAAACATACATCTAGCTACCTAAAATATTTAAAAAACATTACACCCCATGTATATACCAATATACAAAATATTTGCAACTCACTTTTAACAGTCTTTCGTGTAGGGAAATATGATAAACATGATATATATAAGCCTTGACAAGTTTCTTTTATAAAAAATAATTCACTCACCAGATTATGTTTATTTCAGTACAGGATGTTCTCTGCATTCCAAAGGGTTTATAAACTCCCTACCCAGAGAAAGAAAGAAGTCAATACTTTACAAAAGTAGTTGGTAGTCCAGCTTTTGTGTTTATCATAGAAAGCACAGGACTAGTGACAAAACCAAAGAAAAATATTATTTCATGTTATCTTTGTGAAGTATGATTAATTTCAGTTTCGTTTGAGCTACTTATTACAAGCTTCTTTACATTTATCAAGGAAAAACAACGTGTGACGCGGATCAATAGACTAACCTTTATATGGAAGTTTCATTTTAGGGCTATCTAATCTGTATAAAAAAGAAAGATGGTGTTACTTTCTGACAGGATCATACACTGTATAATTACTTAAATCCAGAGATACTATCAAAACCGACTGCCCTTTCTCAAAAAAAGAAAATTTCACCTGCTACAGTACAGTATATATCCATAAAAAATAAGTATCCAAAAACATCTGTTGATGGTAAAAATCTTTTTCAAAAACATAAAAAGGTCAATCCACAGACTAATATTTTTTTTAATTCAATATTGTATTTAGTATAGCAATGGTATTTAATTGGGATTTATGCAGTATGATAACTCCTTTGATCAAAAATACTATACAATTCAAGCTTCAATTATAATAATAAAATGTGTTAAAGTCTTAAGCAATTTTAAAATGGTATATACTGTACATTACATTTACTAATAACATAATTTAACATTAGACAGAATTTGTTAATATGCTGGATTGACTATTGCTATTGCTGGTGGACACCAGAATCTTCTATGAGCTGTCTGCCATGCATGCTTCTTCGACAGTGCTTTAAAAACCAGTAATAATGTAACATAGTTCATGTCATGTAGACCGCTAAGTTTGAAGAATTTTAATTTAATATCAAATTCAAAACATCTAAATATATCTAAAATATCTATTTTACAATTGATTAATGTTCTAGTCTTCAACCAGTAACACTGAAATAAAACTAAATATCTGCCTTATCAAAGAGGTGTAAGAAAAACATGTCTCCTGATCCTTTTCTCAAAATTAAATTGAGAACTTTACCCTTCGTGGTGTCCACAAATGTAGTTCATCACTACTGGGCCGCTCTTTTGCCATTACAGTTAGTTAAAAGGCCAAACTGATCAAAGGGCAAATAAGTCATTCTACATTGCAGTTTAATTACCATAAAGTAGAAGACACAAGATAAAGGTTGTTTCTTTGAAACAGAATACAATTCCTATAAGGAGATATGAACGTGATTGTCTTTTTATAAGTAACATTATGTAAATTTATAATACTGCTTTTGAAGAAACTGCGAATATAGAAAAACGTCTGAGTAACTGCACAACTGCTGTGATAATATTTATTGTGTAAGCATACACATACATTACACTGAAGGGTGCAAAGGGTTCTGAATTGACTAATGCCTCTGAAAACAAAATAATTTCAAGAAAAGCCAAGTGCACCTTTTTTGTATACAGTATATGTCTATTATAGTAATTGCGCATTTGACTTGGGTGGCATTTGCCTATAATGGATAAAATAGAGAGAAATGTTAAGAAGTAAAGAAATAATTGGCATGGTACGGTTTACAGCATTAGGTTTAAGGTTAAAATGTCGATAGAAAGGTTTTTGTCTTTTCCCATTACACCAGCAGTGCAAACTGAACAATATAGAGAACTTGACACTTCTGGCAACAACAATGATAACCTTAATTTAATTGACCACGGATACGGCCATTGGCAATCATTTGCTGCTCCGTGTAATATACATATATAAAATAAATAACAGGAAACCGAGCTCACAAAATGGTTTTTCATTCATTTTGAGGTATTAATTTGCAATTGTACACGAGTTGAGAACCAATGCTCTTGCAAATAGAAACGATTCGGAAAGGGTAATGTCAATGTTTTAAAACTAATATTTTGTATTTAATTATACCAAGAAAACTTGGATACTATTAAAAACTTGACACTTACCTGTTCTCTTTTTCAAGTCGCTATCTTTCATATAGAGGAAAGAACTAGCTTGTGCATTGTCTAGATTCAAGTAATGAATAGATGTTGGTCGTTTTTTTTTATTTGCACGAACTATAAAAGAAAAACAATCAGTTATCTTTTCAAGGTAGAGATGTATTTTATCAAATAAAACTTGGCTACTGAAGAGTTAAAGGGAGGAGACGGTAAGAGACACGCCTCATTGGGCAGATTATGTGCAGCAAACAAAAAGTGTGTGTCTGTGTGCCAGTCACTCATTGCATCGGGTCCATCTGTATAACTATACTCACAAAATACGGGGCGCTCATCAGCAGTGTCACTTTTCTTCTGATAGGGCTATGTACTGACTAAACGGAACACGATAAAGTGTTTTTTTTTCTGCCACGTTGTATTCAACATTTTTTACCTTTGTGGATTATTATTGTTCTTAACAAAAAGGTGAGTATGTATGTTATGTTATGTTATTTTTAAAGAGACAAATAAAAGTAAAGCGAAAACGATTTGCTGTAAAACTAAAATTGTACAATCTAAAAGACAAGGTATAGAACCCCTTTTAAAATGAAAGAAAACGCGCATCTTTAAAAGGTATCCGGGGCTCATGCTGAAATGTGCATAAATACAATATACTAGTATTACTAATAATAATTCAATTAGCTGGGTAGTTAATGAATGGGAGCCTATTTTTAGAGGTATGTGTGCATTCCGAGTTCTATTACCATACTTAGTTGAAATGCATATTCATTGGACCTTTTGTGTGGTTTTCCCAAGTGAGACTCCGACCTTTGTACAATAAGAGGGGCTCTACGGGGGGGACGTTACTTTTTTAAGTTACAAGTTTAACGTTTTCATTTCTTTGGAGAAGGCGGTTAATATGTTTAGCCGTTACTGAATACAATAATACTTTAGTGTTATGCTGTTTTACTTCTCGAGTTACCGCCCTTGTTTTATCTTTTTTATTCCTTTGGAATTTGAATATTGCAATATACAGCAGTGGTCTGTCAGAATAACCATTTGGGTGACAGGTTTGGTGAGCTCTTTTGAAAATTGCAGTACAGATGTTACAAGCATAACGACGTAAACGATCGTGGAGGGTTGTACATTTTAAATATTAAAGATGAACGAGAAAAAATCTGGTTGGCAATCATTTATTGAATAAGTAAAAAAGAGCAATGTTATTGTGTCAGTGCCTAACAGACCCCACAGTATAGTTTTTGAGTAGGCCAAATTTAAAGGGAAAATGGAAAATGTATTTTAACACAATTAATTTACTTGAGCAACAAATTATGTAAATGAATGACAGTCCTAATTGAAATGTATTTAAATGATTGATTTTGGTATTGTTATGATGATTTTGAAAGGTCAATTTGGTAAATAAAACATTGTCTGGATTTTGCGTGAACTTCCACTGATTTGAATTAAACGTTTAAAAATGCATAACCAGTTTGAAAACATGGAATGTTATCGTTTGGCACAGTTTTGATTTAAAACGGTATTAAATAAAGGATCCGTTTAAATATAATATAAAAATATCATTATTTTAAAATTTATTATGAATTGTTTATAAACTATATTATTAAATCATGAGAACCTTACCTGTACTTTACGGTACCATTTATTGAAGAAGTAAATCTACCTTGTAGAAAAGATGACTGGGGTTCGCCTTCATCCATAAATAAACGTGCAGAGGTAAAAAATAATTAACTCTGCTTGCTGCCTTAATTAAAGTCTCGGAGGGAAAGTGCTGGATTATGGTAATGAGGAGACATACGTTCCTTCTTGTAGAATGGAGCTAAAGGTTAGCTGACATGAAATCAGTGACTTTGACAGTCCACTTGAAATCCATTCGATATGCTTTTCTATTTTCTAGCCGAGTCCTCGGTTTCTTATTGATATTTTTTTCACGTCTTCTTGAAGTGCAAAATTTCGGATTATAGGATACGTATAACAATTTATGTTAGAAAACAAGAATTAATCTTTTATATATGCAAACCTATTTAAAAAAAGTTCTCAAAAACAAATGATATGGGAAGCAGCATTTTTATCAGTATAACTACACATGTATATATTTACAAAAGTACACAACGGATTGTAATTGATCTCTTTGTGCACCTGCTGAGCGAGTTCGATAACATTTAAGTGACGAGGCTGTTTAATTTACCTGGACTGGAGCACCTTTGAGAACTGGTGAAGTGTGTTTACATAATTAAGCGTTACACTCAGATATATTTGGGTTTGACAAGAGCGCTTATTCATTCAATTGTTTCTCTACCAACAGCTCATGATGGAGGAGTCCAGCTCACAGAAACTGTTATGGGATGGAGACGCCAAGGCGGTACAACAGTGTTTAACGGATATTTTCACCAGTGTGTATACAACTTGCGACATTCCTGAAAATGCCATTTTCGGACCCTGTGTTTTGAGCCACACATCTTTGTATGACAGCATTGCTTTTATTGCCCTCAAATCCACGGATAAAAGAACTGCACCATACATCTTCAGGGTAAGATTTTGCATTTGGTACATAAGAAATAATCGACTGTTTTATTATTAGTTATACTGTACATGCATTATTATTATAATTATTAGTCAGATTTTAAGTTTTAGCTATTATATTTTTTTAACTTGTTTCTTTCTGATATAACTTTTTGCATTTAAAGTTAATTAAATGTACTGAAAGATCAATTTTAAGTGATTGTTTTTTTTCGAATAATAAAAATAACGGATTAAACAAAGGAAAAATAGAACATACATGTTAGGCTTTTTACTGATGTATGCTGTCTGTTTGAATGCATATCGTAGAAGGAATTAAAAATGGAAAAAAGTTATTTGCTATACTAAAAGTGGGCACTTAAGAGCTACACATTTTAAATAAGTAAGATATAATATTATTATAGACATTTTGTTTATATATATATGTAGGTGGATACTTCAGCAGCCAACAGCTCCTCCGAAGGCTTGATGTGGCTGAGATTAGTCCAGTCTGCAAGGAATAAAGAGGAACAAAATCTAGAAGCCTATGTGAAAAATGGACAGCTATTTTATAGATCTCTGAGGAGGATTGAAAAGGATGAAGAGTTGCTGGTTTGGTATGGTAAAGACTTGATTGAGTTGCTCCTACTTAGTTCCACTAGAGCACAAGGAAAAATGAAAGGTATGTCTTAAATTAAAAAAGTCTCATTTTATTCTGCCCCAAATTATTTTTGACTGATTTTTCTGCTGTATTTTTTATGCTGCTGTCAAGTGTAATATCATGTGGAATTGTGAATCTCTTAGCATACTCAACTTTTTTTGCAACCTGTGCAATGCTGAGTCTTATACACAAGGTTCCATGAAAAACAATAAGGAACATTTAAATGATCCTTTAAAAGAGAAAAAAAATGAAGTTATGTGTTTTTCATGTTTCAAAGATGCAACCTGCTCTCCAGTTAGTTGAGCCTGGACATTTGCTAGCCTCTCATAACTACTTACAATTAAGGAATAGAAGATTAGACAGCTTGTGGGAAAATGAGTGATGCATTGTATTAATGTTATTTTTGTTCTTGAATTTGTAGAATCTTAAGAGTGATGTGAAGTTTGTAATAAAATTAGGAATAATACCTAAAGATCTATTTGCTTATTGTCATACAAGATGATAATATACAGTATGCAAAATTATATTTCTGTGACCATAAATAGTGACGTTTGATGTTGAATTCCACCTGGAGTAACCCGCTTTTCTTTTTCACTTAGGGTCTCCTCCATATTTATGTCCAGACTGCAGCCAGCGCTTTCTGTTTGAGTACCCTTTTCTGGCACATTTGAGATTCCGTTGCAGCAAGAGACTACAAAGCGTTAACAGTACAGATGAGGATTCTAAAGACCACACTAACCCAAGTGCACCAAGACCAAGTGCAAAACTAAACAGATCTGAGGGATACTCTAATTTACAGGATGGGAAACCATCTACAGATTTTCATAATTTAGCCAGGGATCTTGAAAATAACAGGTCATCACCCTCAAGTGACCAAGAAGCTGAAATTAGAAGTGAAAGCAACAATAAAAGGAAATATTCAGAGGCGGATGAAAGTAGAAATGGAAACTTATCACGATCTCTTACCTCAAAAGATGATCTAGTAAGCACATCACAACAATACAGAGGATCATACGTAGGTTTGGAAGAAAACAGAAGGGTGTTTTCTCCCTCTAGTCCAGAACCCACAGAAAGCAAGAGAAGTGCTTTCACAGAGGTAAAAAAAGCCTCACATAGCCTAAAACAAAAAAACCTGGGGCCTAACACAGAAAACAAGGACAGTGGCAGGCCCAGTGGTAGCCCTGCTGAGAAACACCTAAATGTGAGACAGGTTTTGACAGAAACGCAACCCCAGTCCCGCATAGATAGTTCTTCAATGGGAAGTGCTTTTACTACAGTACACCAACAGCTTGGTGGTTCTGTGGAGAGGAAAAGTGCATTCAGTCAACCAACTCGATCCTTTTCTCAGCTGTCACCTCTTGTGATGACCCCAAAGCTTCTCCCAACGGTGGACTGCCACCCCTCCGTTGGGGACACCATCTCATCCAGCAGACTCTACCAGGCAGATCACTTAGCTGCCAAGCTTCAAAGTTCAGATCTCAGCAACAATTGCACAGTGCAAGGCGGCATTCCCAAACAAAGTCCATTTCTTTATGCTACAGCATTTTGGCCAAAGACCTCTGGACCTATTCAGTTGCAGATGCCCTCAGCTCTCACACTCTTGCCCCCTTCCTTCACCTCGCTCTGTCTGCCTGCTCAGAACTGGTGTGCCAAATGTAACGCTTCTTTTCGAATGACTTCTGATCTCGTGTACCACATGAGGTCTCATCACAAAAAGGAATACTCAATGGAACCTTTGGTGAAACGGCGGAGGGAAGAAAAGCTGAAGTGCCCCATCTGCAATGAATCCTTCAGAGAACGCCATCACCTCTCCAGGCACATGACATCTCACAACTAGCTTTGCAGGAAAAGCCAATTTAACCACAGTTCAAACTGGGATTATTACATAACTGGAAAATTCTGAATGCACACATTTTCACTTTCAAATGGACTTTTGTCACGTGTCATGTTTCAAAGTATGCAATTGCATTTTGTTAAATGAAATATTTATCATATGAAGCACTTATGAGTTGGAACTATGGGTAACCATAATGATATGTGTAAATGTAAGTTTTATTTATATAAAAAGTAAATGAATAAAGATGTAGTTACATTCTATTGGTTTATTATTTAATGATTTTGATGCTAATGCAAAAAAGTTTAAATGGTTGAATCAAACAAGATTCTGACACCAGACTATATTTGAGAGTGCATGTAATATTAAATAGATATGAATTTCAAATACAGTCTATATAGTGTAAATACCTGTTTTGTTTGAATACAAAAGTGTAATAATTTGTGTCAGTGAGAAATAGTTTGAGTGTTTCTTTCTTTTGCTGAAATTTACTATACTTGATAGTTTATCTAATCATGTTGAATGCTTTGGCAATAAAAATAGTTTTATTTTCATCCAAAAGTGTGGACGTTTATTGTTGCGTGATTGGTGTTATAGCAGTGATTAAACTACACGACATACACAAAGATAAACATTGTTTCAGGTATAATCAAACATGTTTCTTTAAAAGGATAAATAATTATTAACTGTGTGCAAAGCAATAATTTATCATGAATTAGAAATCCACACATAAAATCTGATTAAAGACCTTACATACTGTATAGTCATTATAAACTAAACAAACTTTATGTAGAGTTGATGTTTATGAGTGATTATTTTATGAATGTCTCATTTTGGTTTACATTTCAATTATACAACATAGGGATATGAACACAATATGCAGTTAATATCTAAAATAAAAATGTCATTAGGATAATATGATTTGTTTTACTTTGAAGATATAATAAATACTGTACCTTTTATATATATTATTTAAAATTGTAGGTGTAGATTATGCGTGAACTATAATAATAGGAGATTTCGACATCAACAAGGTGACATTTTCATTGTTATTAAAAAATGTTCGTTATTTGATCTTTCAAGAACAAAAATGATATTTAATAGTTACGGTGGTCTTTGTACAGGCAATAACACGAGTTTGAATTACGTTTTATTCCAACTTTTAAAAATAATATCCTTATGACATAATATTCAGATGACCACATGTGAGAAGCACAAAGCGGTCTATCATTGCATCCCTTACGTACCATTTATTTGGAGGTATATTTTCTTCAAAACATGGTTCAGAAAGATGAAAAAGAAGTAGTGTTGTCCTTTTTCCAATTCCCTTGATAATGTAACTCATTTCTTACAGAGCAAAACATGCGGGTATCCGTTTACACATTACAATATTACATTTTTGTGCAAAAATACATCGGAACATGCAGGTATCCGTTTGTACATTACAACTTTACATTTATGTCCACAAAATAGATGGTAACAGCCATATATACTGTATATGGAATATGTATAAAACAGTGATTCAATGTATAATAAAAGTACACAGTTTCCGTTTCACAACGCCTTCGTCTTTTCCATCCACTTCCACCGTGAGCCCCAACATCAACAGCAACAAAACCAATAATAATAATAATAATAATAATAATAATAATAATAATAATAATGTTCTTGGCTTAGTAATTCCAATTCAGTAAGAAAGTATTTGGGTAAATCTCCTCCAAGTATTTAGGTAAACGCAATGTTTTCAAGATCACTAACAGATAAATTAATAATACGAATTTAATAGTGAAGCGTATTAATCAAGGAAATTCAACGAAATTTTAAAAACAGAAACGCAATTTAAAAACTTAATCACACATCTTTGACTTACGCGTAGACCAATATTCGTTTCTGGACACTTTATTGTAATTGTATTTGTTTAATATCAGAAAGATGTCCTAGAACGCATGCGGCTAAACAGACGATTGTAGAAGCAGATCTGGATTATTCTGCGAAACTCTACTCCATATTAGTTTTTGTATAGTATATTTCTGATAAAAATGAACATAAAATACAGTACAAAATGAAACTATTGTTAAATCTCTGATCGAATTATTCTTGAATGATAGCAAAATGTAGATGATCGTCTAGTTATGCTGAAGAGATTCCAATTTCAGGAATGAAGTAGTGTTATGCATAATGTCGATTTACGATAAAAAGGTTATAGATTTTATCATTTCAAGTGCTACTACTATACGTGAAACTGGAATACAAGAATGCATTAAAGGCTTAAACCCTGGTGATGTATTTATAATCTCCCAGTGTTAGTAGTAAAAGCGTTCTAAAGTTCATCTTCCCCGAGAGCAGCAAAACATTTTGTGAAATGTTTTTGTCCTGACACTCTTGATAATATATACATTAAAACAATGTATTAAGCTCATTTTCCACTGAAATTCCTCAATACAAAAACTGCACTTTGTAAAACCTACCAGCGGTTCTTCACCCAAGCAGAAAACAACGCAGTAATTTTAATTAACCAGAAATTAAATTTTGATCAAAGAACATGTAACTGATGAGTACACCGTTCATTAAAAGGACATCTTGTTAAATCCGTAGCAAATTAACATCTACATCTGAAAATGTTTCGAAGTAATAAAACAGTTTGAAGCAGTTGAACTGCATCACATTTGCGTGTGTGATTTCGTCTTATTCTCACACTGTACATTCAGAAAATAAAGAAAATATTAAATGTAAGACGGTAGTTAATACGACTAATTAATTAGGTAACGCATCGTTCAATAAAATAATGTATAATCAGAAATTAGGAAATCATTTCTGCACTGTATTGATCTTAATACACGTGCTGCAATTTTAAATCGCATATGCCCACCAATGGTACTCGTAGTTTTCTTAATGTAGAACTGCCTGAAAACCTGTTTTAGACAGTCTATTTAATAATAATAATAATAATAATAATAATAATAATAATAATAATAATAATAATAATAATATTAATAATAGTAATATAAAAACATGTTCAAGTTTATGCCAAAAACAAAACCACAATAATAATTTCTAAAAAATATAAATTGAAAGCATATTTTAGTCAGAATTCCCGTGATAGTGATTTTTTCATTTAAGAATACAACTTTTTTCCAGAAAATTAGATAATCTGGTAAAAGAGCAGTTTCTGGTGCTGTTTGTCAAAATGAAATTTAATGTGCGTTAATTTGCGTTTTATTTGTCTGCTAATCTTGTGCAACATGTACAGTACAGCAAATGCAATAAAGTCGAAAATAGATAAACAGTGACACCAAGCTTTCAGAATGAGTAATTCAGGCAGATCTGACATTTAAAAAGATTGAATGATTTGGGCATTTATCCTCATGGCGACACCTCCCTTTCATTTGGCTGTTCATCAGTTTAACATTTTAAAATAATTGGAACGGAACTAATTTAATTTATATTATATCAGTATAATTTCTAATTGGCAGTTTAAGCGCAGACCACTAATAGTAACAAAGAACATGTGTATTAGGTGAAGCATCGGAATGGATATTTTGGTAACTTTGTACGGTACCCGTTTTAGTTTCCACCTTAAAAAAAATAATTAAATAACTATGACAAAATCATAATACTGAAGAAAATAGATTATCTATTGAAGCGTCCTGTGCTTTAGAACTAACACTTGGTCACACTTGGCAATAAGTAATAAAACTAATATTTATTGCAATAAGACTTATTGTTCCATTGATTGTGTACATTACACATTACATTACATTTTCATTTCCTGTTACAAGTATAAAACCTTAGCTGCCCACCAACACTGAAAAGAACACTTACTTCTTCTAATTCATTTAATGAAATACCATGAGCTACACCCCAAAAGTCGAGAAGTACATGTATAAAGAATGTGTAATATACAGTATACCTAATCTTTAAAACAAGTGACATTCACACAAAATACAATGCCAGAAAATGCATGCCACTATAAACACTTATTTTAAACAAGATTGCCATCTTGATTCCAGTGTGTTACTGTACTTTTACTATTGCCTTATATTGAGAGCCTTAGGATTAATGGGACTAGAAACTTACTTCAGGTAGCTATATTAGTTGAGTTTAGTTATAAACTCACCTAAACATAACTTTTTTGTTGTTGCAGGAAATGCATATTAATCCAGATATTAATCAAGCAGATTTGTATATTTTATCCATTTAGGTCACCAATTTGAGCAACTGAGTTACTGTTTTCTTATGTGAAACTTGCTTTGCTAGCTGACACAACTCCTTTGATAGGAGACTTAAAGGGAATGGTGGAAGAGCAACTTAGGAAGGTTTTATCATTGTAAATGTTTATACACCCACTGGAAGCAGAAAATTAAATTCCTCAAACACAAGTTACGCTAGTCGTCTGTGCCCTAGAAGACGTGATTTATTTTTTAGGGGTGATTTTAATACTAATAAGCTTCATCCTGATTATGTTAAGGCACACCTGTGAATATAAAAACATTTGGAACATCAAATAAAAAAACAATATACATAGGTCAAAGTACATTGTAGTGATATACAGTACAGTGTTTGAAATGGGTTGTATCACTTTTCAGATGCAAACATTACCTTATTTTTATAAAGGCTTCCTTATGGAGTTTTGCAATGCATTTTTGCATTTGCAAAGTCTACCCTTAAATCACTTGGACAGTGGTCATCATAATATAATCAAAATGTCTATCAAAATACTATACTACCAATACTACAGGGCAGCACTTTCCTCAGACTAATTCAGAGATCCGTAGTCTGCACTCTGTTATGCCAACGATCCTTTTGACTGTAATGGTCCTTACACCTAACCCCTTTAGTGTTAAAAAACTTTATAGATCTTGGAGAGTGATTGGAGGTGAAGGATTACATACAGCTTGGAAGTCACTGTATAATTCCAATTCCGAAATAAAATCAGTGGCTTTTCAGGGGTTAGATCTAGAAACAATCATTACTGTTAGTATTTATAACCTACATGTTTTAGATGTAGATTTATATACTGTGTACAATACAGTGGATTTTAATTTTTATTAAGTCACATGCACTCTGAATACTTTTCAACAAATAAGGATTTTCACTGATGATCTCTTTACAGTTGTTGATAATGTTTGTCACATTTTAATGGCCTTTTATTTTGATTTTCTTTTTTTTCTTCAGTGTTTATTTAGACATATTTTCTGTATCCCTGACAGATGTCTCTGTGAAATGTACGATGTATATATTTTTTTATTTATAATTTCTATTTAAAATGTCACTGCAGAGATCTTATGCCAGACATGCATATATCCTTGTCTGTGAAGTTACTCAGTTGCTGTTACATTTATCCTTATATAGAGTATATTATAGCTATATTCTTTTGGGATCATTCTAATTCTTTGCATGTACTTTGTTTGTAGTAAATAAAGGGTCATTTTGAAAATTAAGATATGCAAATGTAGAAAGCCTACATGAATCTTCAAAAATATTTTCATAATTCCATGTGAACTTTGCAGCACTAGCCTAAAATATAAACAATATGAACAACTGTAGGACTGTGA